CCATGTCCCAAGCAAAATGCATGTACAATGTGTTGTCAAAAGCTTTTGTGGCCGGAATCACTGGCTTGCTGTGAGTTTTCCAGGCTGTCTGGCCATGTTCCAGAAGCGTTCTCCTGACATTTCGCTCACATCTATGGCAGGCATCATGCTGCAATTGATTGTCTTGATTAGCACTTCCTGCCTGGGAGGATCCTTTGTTGGGAAGTGATTAGCTGCCCTGATTGTTTCTTGTCTGGAATTCTCCTGTTTTTGAGTATTGGTCATGCTTTACTCCCAACAAACCTCTCAATCTGTGATAATGCCTGCCATAGATGTGGCAGAGGTTGTGAGATCTGTTGGAAACTGGGCAAGTGGGGTTTATATACCTGTGGAATAATGTCCATGTTCCAAAAGCATTCTGTCCTGACGTTTCGCCTGCATCTATGGCAGACATCCCGGTGGCGCAGTGGGTTAAACCCCTGTGCCGGCAGGACTGAAGACCGACAGGTCGCAGGTTCGAATCCGGGGAGAGGCAGATGAGCTCCCTCTATCATCTCCAGCTCCTCATACGGGGACATGAGAGAAGCCTCCCACAGACGGCCAATTCTCTCACACCAGAAGCGACTTGCAGTTTCTCAAGTCGCTCCTGACACAACAAAAAAAATCCTCAATGGTTGTGAGGTCTGTTGGAAACTAGGCAAGTGGAATTTATATATCTGTAGAATGTCCAGATTTTAGATTTTTTAAATACCGGTAACCATATTTTGTTCATTTTCATAGTTTCCTCCTTTCTATTGAAATTGTCCACATGCTTATGGATTTCAATGACTCTGCAGGAGTCTACTTGCAGCTGTGGACCAGTCTACATAGGGACAAAACGCAGCATCCAAACACAAATCAAGGGACATGAATGGCACTACAGACTAACTCAACCTGAGAAGTCAGCCATAGCAGAGCACCCGATTAACCAACCTGGACACAGCATATTATTGGAGAACAAAGAAATGCTGATCCATTTAGTTTTCTTGGAAAGAACATTGGAGTGGGTTGCCAATATCTTCTCCTTGGACCGCGAGAAGATCCAACCAGCCCATACTTCAGGAAATAAAGCCTGACTGTTCGCTGGAGGGAAGGATAGTAGAGGCAAAGATGAAGTACTTTGGCCACATCATGAGAAGACAGGAAAGCTTGGAGAAGACAATTATGCTGGGGAAAATGGAAGGAAAAAGGAAGAGGGGCCGACCAAGGGCAAGATGGATGGATGGTATCCTTGACGGGACTGGCTTGACTCTAAAGGAGCTGGGGGTGGTGATGGCCAACAGAGAGCTCTAGCGTGGGCGGGTCCATGAGGTCACGAAGAGTCAGAGGTGACTGAACGAATAAAAAACAACAACAGAAATGGTGGGCCATTCTAAGAACCACCATGTCAGACTACACAGAGAAGCCATTGAAATCCACAAGAAGCACGTGGACAATTTCAACAGAAAGGATAAAACCATGAAAATGAACAAAATGTGGCCACCAATATTTAAAAACTCTAAAATCAGGACAGTAAATAAAGAACAACACTCAGAAAACAGGGGAATTCCAGACAGATTAGGGCCAGCTAACACCTCACAACAAAGGATTCCCCCGGGCAGGAAGCAGCCAGGCTTTGAAGCTAGAAGGCCATTGCATGCTAATCAAGGTGGCCAATTGCAACATTCACACTTGCCTCCACCAGACAAGAGTTCTTTCTCTCACTCTGGACATTATTCCTCAGATATATAAACTCCACTTGTCTAGTTTCCAAAAGACCTCACAACCTCTGAGGATGCCTGCCATAGATATGGGCAAAACGTCAGGAGAGAATGCTTCTGGAAGATGGTCAGACAACCTGGAAAACTCACAGCAACCCAAAAATGCATGTACCTTTTATCCAAAATAGTGTGCAGATACTTATCCATTTGCTATCCTACTTTTCTGCCATATGGGAACTCAAAGTGGCTCAGACTATATATTGAAATATGTGATTGAAAACATCCCAGCCAATAAGTGTATGTTGACTCACAACAGAATGTGTAGTTGGAAAGGCACCAACCTGATGGGTCTCTTGGGTTTCCCACCTTTAATTAAGACTCAGATTGGATGCAAGGGGAGATCATCTTTCAGAGACAGACCTGTTCAAATGTTGTTGCTCTTGTTCTTTTCGTTGTCACTGTTTCGTCTGTTTCTACCTGGCATATCATATCCAACAACATCTTGAAACTAGATCAAGCCGTTAACTAGTTATAAATAGCTACCCACCTGTAATTAATCCCTTTTCCCACTAATGAGAGCAAAGTACCTGAATATTATGCTTGCAAAGCAACAAGAGGAAATTTAATTCTTTTTGTGGTGGGTTTTTGAATTACTTTCAGAGTTATGGGGGTGAGACATCTCTAAATAATGGAGAAGAGACTTCACATGGAGTTAAAGGGCCGGCTGATGCTCTGTTGTATCTGTTGCAATTTCTTTATCGTATCAGAAGCGAACCGAGAGTACAGTTGTAATGTATTTAAAATCACAAAGTTTAAAAGTTTGGCATTATACTAAATGTCCTTTGACCAGTAGCTGGCCATTTGGTTGTGCCTCAGGTGTTGCTATAAGAAGGTCCTCCATGGTGCAAGTGGCAGGGCTCAGGCTGCATTGTAATAGGTGGTCTATGGTTTGCACATCTCCACACTCGCATGTTGCGGACTCCACTTTGTGGCCCAATTTCTTAAGATTGGCTCTGCATCTCATGATGCCAGATTGCAGTCTATTCAGTGCCTTCCAAGTTGCCCAGCCCTCTGTGTGCCCAGGGGGGAGTTTCTCATCTGGTATCTGCCATGGATTGAGGTTCTGGATTTTAGCCTGCCACTTTTGGACTCTCGCTTGCTGAGGTGTTCCTGCAAGTGTCTCTGTAGATCTTAGGAAGATATTTCTTGATTTAAGGCATTGGCATGCTGACTGATATCTGAACAGGGGATGGGCCGGAGATGTCACTGCCTTGGTCCTTTCATTATTGGCTGCTACTTCCCAGTGGATGTCAGGTGGTTCAGTACTGGCTAAACAGTATAATTTATCCAATAGTGTAGGGTGTAGACATCCTATGATAATGTGACATGTCTCATTAAGAGCCACTTCCACTGTTTTATCAAGGGGAGATGTGTTCCACACTGGGCATGTGTATTCAGCAGAAGAGTAGCAAAGCTTAAGGGCAGATGTCTTCATTGTGTCTAGTTGTGATCCCCAAGTTGTATTGTACCAGTCAGCTTTCATGTGATATTGTTTCCAGCACCCACTTTTTGCTTGATTTTCAAGCAGTGCTTCTTGTAGGTCAGAGCACAGTCCAGACTAACTCCCAGGTATTTGGGCATTATGCAATGCTCCAGTGAGATTCCTTCCCAGTTAATCCTCAGAGCTCAAGATGCTTGTCTGTTCTTAAGGTGAAAAGCACACGTCTGTGTTTTAGATGGGTTAGGAATCAGCTGGTTTTCCCTATAATAGGCAATAAGAGCACCTAAAGTGGTTCTCAACCTGTGGATTCCCAGATATTTTGGTCTTCAACTCCCAGATATCTGAACAGCTGGTAAACTGGCTGGGATTTCTAGAAGTTGTAGGCAAAAACACCTGAAGACCTACATGTTGAGAACCACTCACCTAAAGCTTTGGAGAGCTTCTGTTCAACCATTTCAAAGGTCCCTGCTTGGGTGGTGATGGCATGATCATCGGCATAGATGAAACTCTTCCCCTGGTGGCGCAGTGGATTGAACCCCTGTGCCAGCAGGACTGAAGACTGACAGGTCACAGGTTCGAATCCAGGGAGAGGCAGATGAGCTCCCTCTATCAGCCCCAGCGCCACATGAGAGAAGCCTCCCACAAGGATGATAAAAACATCAATTCATCTGGGCATCCCCTGGGCAACGTCCTTGCAGACGGCCAATTCTCTCACACCAGAAGCAACTTGCAGTTTCTCAAGTCACTCCTTACAGAACAAAAAAATGTGTCTAGTCATATTTGTAAATGTTAAACATTGATGGAGCAAGTACTCTCCTCTGAGGCAGGCCATTCTTTCACCATCGGCTTCTCTAGCCCTGGAACTCAACAAAAAAGCTCCTTGTGTCACAGCTGTATGTGATTCTTAATATGTTTCAACTTTTTTTAAAAAGAGTTAAAAATTGTAAAAGGTATCTCAAATTAGTTACTTACTTACTTACTTAGACAATCCATTGTTGTCCAAAATCAGTGTACTGGTGAGTTCGTAGGTGACTGTGGAGCCCTATTCTTGATCTGCATCTTCTCTTGCAGTGAGGTCATTGGTTTCCAGGTGAAAAGCAGTCTCGGTTGGGGTTGGCTTGATGCACCTTCCTCTTGGCACATTTCTCTCTTTTGCCCTCCATTCGTGGCTCTTCAGATTCTACAGCACTGCTGGTCAGAGCTGACCGCCAGCTGGAGCGCTCAAGGACCAGGGCTTCCCAGTTCTCACTGTCTATGCCAAAGTTTTTAAGGTTGGCTTTGAGCCCATCTTTAAATCTCAACATTCAATTTTTCGTTCTTGAGTTCAGAATAGAGCAACTGCTTTGGGAGACGGTGGTCGAGCATCCAGACAATGTGGCCAGTCCAGCGGAGTTGATGGCGGAGAAGCATGGCTTCAATGCTGGTGGTCTTTGCTTCTTCCAGCACGCTGACATTTGTCCGCTTGTCTTCCCAAGAGATTTGCAGGTTTTTCCGGATGCAATCATTCCAGGAGGTGCATTTAATGTCTGTAGACAGTCCACGTCTTGCAGGTGTATAGCAGGGTTGGGAGGACAATAGCTTTATAAACAAGCACCTTGGTCTCCCTACGGATGTCCCAGTCCTCAAACACTCTGCTTCAATTTTTTCTGGTATCTCAGATGTTACACTTTTGAAAGATTGGTACCAATAACAGTCACTGGATTCGCTACCTGCTTTTCCAAGCCTAGGAATGGTAAGCCATTCCTTCTTTGAGACACTCTGAGCCAAGGAAGGCTGGCTCCACCTCGGCCCCAGAGGTCTCTCGCAGCAGTCGCACTCGGCACAAGGCACAGAAGGAGGTTTTGCGACGGAAGGGAAGCAAGCATCATGGCCAAAGATCCCCTGGAAAGCTCCCAGGAGTTTTATGCACTAGATGTAAGTGGGCCATTTAATTACTTCTTTATAAGCTGGGCTTGTGTGTGGCTCCTACTCCTTTCATTACTTCCAGATCACCAACTTTATTTCATGCACTGTATACCGTGTATCAACCTTTTCTAATGCTATATTTCCACCTTTTGCCCTTTTTGCCAACTATTATTAGGCACAAGCATCCGACGCCAGGAAGGAACTCTACAAACGGCACCGGATCCGCTGGGTGCTTCTCTGCACCTTCGTCCTCTCTCTCGTTCTGACATTTCTGGGGGTCTACTATTTTGTGAGCCCTTCAGCCAAAAAAGTAAGTTGCACGCTCCGCGCTCAATTCGTTTGAGCCGTTCTTTTTCAATCTCTCTCATATTCCAAACTATCATCTCTACTTTGAAATTAAAAATATAGAGAGAGAGCATCCGAGGCAATGTTCAGGAAAGTTTGCAGCCTTCTCTATTTGAGTTGAGGGTTTTTTTTCGTAATGAGTTCTTGGCTACCAAAGCTTTCCGTCACCTTCACAGCGCTGGGCTCAGAATTAATTGTGAGAAAGCACTTTCCATTTTGTTTCAATTAGCTGGCCAGAAGCGGGTGGGAATCCCATTATGGCACCACATTAAGGGAGAAGAAGCCAGCTCTCCAGAGTGATTGATCATGGCTGCGTCCGGCTGCATTTTGCACTTCAACATACCTGCTGCAAAGAGGACCAAGAGGCTCTTAAAGCAGCAAGATGTGTCCAATGTTGCGTTAGCTGGGTTTGGAAAGGGGTGCTTTGTTATTTGTTGAAAGGGAGTTTTAAAGAAAATTCTGCGTTTTATGTCTTAATAATGAATTATTTGCCCCAAAAGTAATCTGTCATATTGTTGTCGAAGGCTTTCATAGGCAGTGTCACTGGGTTGCTGTGAGTTTTCTGGGCTGTACGGCCATGTTCCAGAAGCATTCTCTCCTGACATTTCGCTCACATCTATGGCAGGCATCATGCTGCAATTGATTGCCTTGGTTAGCACTGAATAGCCTTGCAGCTTCAAGGCTTGGCTGTTTCCTGCTTGGGGGAATCCTTTGTTGGGAGGTGATTAGCTGGCCCTGATTGTTTCTTGTCTGGAATTCCCCTGTTTTTGAGCATTGTTTGTGCTTTACTCACAACAAACCTCACAACTCGTGATAATGCCTGCCATAGATGTGGCAGGCTTCCATAGCCAGTGTACTGGGTTGCTGTGAGTTTTCCAGGCTATATGGCCATGTTCCAGAAGCATTCTTTCCTGACATTTCGCTCACATCTATGGCAGGCATCATGCTGCAATTGATTGCCTTGATTAGCACTGAATAGCCTTGCAGCTTCAAGGCTTGGCTGCTTCCTTTCTGGGAAAATCCTTTGTTGGGAGGTGATTAGCTGGCCCTGATTGTTTCTTGTCTGGAATTCCCCTGTTTTTGAGCATTGTTCATTCTTTACTCCTAACAAACATCACAACCTGTGATAATGCCTGCCATTGATGTGGCAGAGGTTGTGAGGTCTGTTGGAAACTGGGCAAGTGGGGTCTATATACCTGTGGAATAATGTCCAGGGTGGGAGAAAGAACTCTTGTCTGTTTGAGGCAAGTGTGAATGTTGCCATTGGTCAGCTTGATTAGCATTGAGTCGTCTTGCAGCAGGAAGCTTCCCAGGCAGGAAGCAGCCAGGCTTTGAAGCTGAAAAGCAATTTAATGCTAATCAAGCTGGCCAATGGCAACATTCACAAAAAATAATGGTGATTTTTTTTTTTTCATATCAGGAGTGACTTGAGAAACTGGAAGGCGCTTCTGGTGTGAAACAATTGCCTGTCTGCAAGGACATTGCCCAGGGGATGCCCGGATTTTTTACCATCCTGTGGGAGGCTTCTTTCCCTGCATGGAAAGCTGGAGCTGACAGATGGGAGCTCACCCCACTTCCCAGATTCAATAATTAATAAATAAATAAATCTATAATAAATAATAGATTCAAACCACTAACCTGTCAGTCAACAGTCCTGCCGGCATAAAGGTTTAACCCAGTGTTTCTCAACCTGGGAGTTGGGACCCCTGGGAGGTCGTGAAGGGGTGTCAGAGGGGTCGCCAAAGACCATTAGAAAACACAGTATTTTCTATTGGTCATGGGGGTTCTGTGTGGGAAGTTTGGCCAAGTTCTATCGTTGGTGGGGTTCAAAATCATTGTAAGTAAACTATAAATCCCAAAAACTACAACTCTCAAATGTCAAGGTCTATTTCCCCCAAACTCCACTAGTGTTCATATTTGGGCATATTGAGTATTCATGCCAAATTTGGTCCAGATCCATTATTGTTTGAGTCCACAGTGCTCTCTGGATGGAGGTGAACTAAAACTCCAAAACTCAAGGTCAATGACCACCAAACCCTTCCAGTATTTTCTGTTGGTCGTGGGAGTTCTGCGTGCCAAGTTTGGTTCAGTTCCATCATTGGTGGAGTTCAGAAAGCTCTTTGATTGTAGGTGAACTATAAATCCCAGGAACTACAACTCCCAAATGACAAAATCACCCTCCCCGCTCAATTCCACTAGTACAGTGGTTCTCAACCTTCCTAATGCCATGACCCCTTTATACAGTGTCACATGTTGTGGTGACCCCCAACCATAAAATTATTGTCGTTGCTACTTCCTAACGTTAATTGTGTTACTGTTATGAATCATAATGTAAATATCTGAAATGCAGGATGTATTTTCATTCACTGGACCAAATTTGGCACAAATACCCAATAACGGCGCTCCATGCAGTCATGCCGGCTACATGACCTTGGAGGTGTCTATTTATTTATTTATTTATTTACCGCATTTGTTGACCGCCGTTCTCAGCCCTAGGGCGATTCATGGCGGTTTACAACATATAAAAAACAGTTTACAACAAGGGCATATCAAAACAACAGTATAAACATAACAATCAACAATAAATCATCCGCGCCGTCTCATCTTAGAATCATAAACCAATCTCGTTGTCCATAGTCCGTTCCAGTCGTCATTGCTAATTGTTGTGGCACTGCTAATTGTTGTGGCACTTAGTCAAACGCCTTCTCAAATAACCATGTTTTTAGTCTTTTCCGGAATGTCATGAGGGAGGGCGCCTGTCTGATGTCTGCAGGGAGGGTATTCCACAGCCGGGGGGCCACCACCGAGAAGGCCCTATCCCTCGTCCCCGCCAGGCGTGCCTGTGAGGCAGGCGGGATCGAGAGAAGGGCCTCCCCAGACGATCTCAAGGTCCTCGTGGGCTCATAGGCCGAGATGCGGTCAGAAAGGTATTTTGGGCCGGAACCGTTTAGAGCTTTGTAGGCCAGCACCAGCACCTTGAATTGGGCCCGGTAGCAGATCGGCAGCCAGTGGAGCTGGAACAACAAGGGCGTTGTGTGCTCCCTGCGTCCCGCTCCCGTTAGTAACATGGCTGCCGCGCGCTGGACTAGCTGAAGCTTCCGGGCCGTCTTCAAGGGCAGCCCCACGTAGAGAGCGTTGCAGTAGTCAAGGCGGGATGTGACCAGAGCGTGTACCACCGTGGCCAAGTCAGACTTCCCAAGGTACGGGCGCAGCTGGCGCACGAGCCTAAGCTGTGCGAATGCTCCCCTGGTCACCGCTGAAACCTGGGGTTCCAGGCTCAAGGATGAATCCAGGATCACACCCAAGCAGCGAACCTGCACCTTCAAGGGGAGTGCGACCCCATCCAGCACAGGCTGTAACCCTATACCCTGTTCGGCCTTGCGACTGACCAGGAGTACCTCTGTCTTGTCTGGATTTAATTTCAATTTGTTCGCCCTCATCCAGACCATTACAGCGGCCAGGCACCAGTTCAGGACCTCGACAGCCTCCTTAGTAGCAGGTGGAAAGGAGTGACAGAGTTGGACATCATCTGCGTACAGATGACACCGCACCCCGAAACTCCGGATGATCTCACCCAGCGGCTTCATGTAGATGTTAAACAGCATGGGGGACAGTATAGAGCCCTGTGGAACCACAGGTCAAAGGCTGTGGTGTTGAACAGGTGTCCCCCAATAACACCTTCTGGGTGCGGCCCTCCAGAAATGACTGGAGCCACTGCAGAACAGTGCCCCCAAGACCCATTTCCGCAAAGCGCCCCAGAAGGATACCGTGGTCGACGGTATCGAAGGCCGCTGAGAGGTCCAGGAGCACCAACAGGGACACACTCCCCCTGTCTAGCTCCCGCGCAGATCATCCACTAAGGCGACCAAGACCGTCTCAGTTCCATGTCCCGGTCTGAAACCAGACTGTGCCGAATCCAGATAATCCGTGTCTCTCAAGAATACCTGGAGTTGTGAGGCCACCACGCTTTCCATGACTTTGCCCAAAAAGGGAAGATTGGAAACAGGCCGAAAGTTGTCAAATTTGGTGGGGTCCAGTGATGGTTTTTTCAACAGCGGTTTTATAATAGCTTGTTTTAAGCTCGCTGGAATCTCGCCATCCCGAAGGGAGGCGTTAACCACCACCGTTACCCACTCAGCCAATCCCCCTCTGGCCTCCCTCAGAAGCCAGGATGGGCAGGGGTCTAGGATGGACGTAGTGGGCCTCATTCCTCCAAGTATCTTGTCCACATCCTCGGGCTTCACAAATTGAAAAGAATCCATCAAAATAGGACAAGCAGGTGCTCGTGTCACATCCTCAGAGACTGCATTTAACATGGTGTCCAGACCAGAACGGATCAAAGCGACTTTGTCTGCAAAGAACCGAGCAAATGCTTCACAGCGCGTGGCCGAATTGTCAGGGCTCCCGCCTGAGGTGGTGGGAGTTAAAAGACCTCTGACAATCCGGAACAACTCCGCCGGACGGTTCCTTGCAGACGCAATAGTAGCCGCAAAGAAAGTTTTCTTTGCGGCTTTTATTGCCGCGGCATATGCCCTTAGAAAGGACACAAACCGTGTTCGATTTGACTCGCTCGGATCCGAACGCCACACGCTCTCTAGTTCCCTCTTCCTTCGCTTCATCACTGCCAGCTCCTCAGTAAACCAAGGAGCTGGTTTAGCTCGGCTACTTGAGAGGGGACGTTCCGGAGCGATCGTGTCAATTGCCCTAGCCATCTCTCCATTCCAGAGAGCGACCAGGGCCTCGACAGGGTCACCTACCGAGGTGGCGGGAAAATCCCCAAGAGCCGTCAGGAATCCATTCGGATCCATAAGCCTCCTGGGGCGGACCAACTTAATGGGTCCTCCACCTTTGCAGAGGTTGGGGGGCGCAGTGAGCCTAAATCTGACCAGGAAATGGTCGGTCCATGGCAACGGAGAGATGGTCAACTCCTCCACACCGCCACCTTGCTCCCATCCCTGGCAGAAA